GGGTGTGGTTTGGGCTTTGCTTCTGTGAAGACTGACAGCCTGGGAGACCCTGTGGGGCAGTTCCATTCTGTCTTACAGGATTGCTATGAGTTGGAATCAACTCAACTGGAGTGGGTTGCTTTGTTTTGGTTTGAGGCCCAGATTAAAAAACAAAACCAAAAATAACCTCAAAGGTTAAGAGAAGTATTGCCACACCTGTGAGAGCTGGAACTCAACGGGACTGCCCATTGCACAGGGCCTTTCTGTCTTTGACAGGATGCTGTTTTACCCCCTTTCTATCACTTGTCTTAGTGGAAAATATATGCATGTTCCTTCCCTGACATGTCTGCCTTGCACAGGTTCCAACTCTCACAGGTCTGGCTGTGTGATTATAAGTAGACGTCCCCCCTTCACTCAGGGATCCAGTCTGTGCCAGGCAAGTCCAACAGCTTCATGTGCTATTGTGGGCGCTCATAGCATTGCCACAGACTGCACTGAGCATGTCCTCTGCTTTCATGGGTGTAATCAGCGCTGCTCTGACAATGTGGCCCGACAGCAGTGCATCGTCTGCAAGTAAGACGGTCACATCCGGAGAAGGCAACCGGCAGAGGTAATGGTCCTCCCTTTGCCTCAGCCGCTGCTTGAGCTCGGACTTGAATTCATCCATGCAGCCAGCTGTTCAGTCTGTCAGCACATCTTTGCCAAGTGATTATGGGGCTCTGCTCTTTCACCCTGTTGTCTGGAGCTTTGTAATGTAGTGAGAAGGCAGACAGTAAAGCCATAGACAAAGACGCAAGCTAAAGACTCCAGGTCGAAGTAATAAAATTAAACAAGGTGCAGGGTAGAGCACGCCTTTTGCTCAGGAGGGGCAGGGAGGGAGGGCGTGAGTGAGGACTGCGGACTGCCCGTGAGAGTCTCCCGGGAACTGTGGTTGTCGTGGGCATATTTGATGAAACTTGCGTTTGGGCTGGAATGTGTGCTTGTTGTCGTCACAGTGAACTTTAACTTGTCCTGTAAGAAGGGAGAGGGTACTGATGATACTTTTATTTCACAACTGGAAACACTGAGTAATCTATTCAGGATTTCACCATCCTTCCTTCAGTGGATTCGTATATAAGTGTTCAAGAATAACTGCTCCTTTTTATAAACATCCAGTTTAAATGCTACAGTATTAAAAAAAACAAACCCACTGCCACCCAGTCGATTCCGGCTCACAGTGACCCTACAGGACAGAGTGGAAATGCTCCGTATGGTTTCCAAGGCTGGTGCTTTCACGGCGCTGACTTTTCACTTGACAGCCGAGTGCTCTAACCTCTGCACCACTGGGGCACCCTGAAAGGATCGGAAGATGTCTGGACTCGTTTCTCAGTTGCCGTCTGTCGTCCTCTGGGCTGTGGTGCATGTGGAAGCCTGTTACGGACGCAGCTTCTTGGGGCCCATCTCCGGAGTGTGACTGCGGTTGTCTGACGGGGCCCAGGAATCTGCATTTTTATAAACACTCCAGGTGACTGCGTGCAGATGGTCATCTGACTGACCTTGGAAAGCACTGCTCTGAACCAGTGACCCTTCACCAGTTCGTCAGTGAATTCAGTCATCCCTACTGGTTGCTGTAAAGACCAGGTTGTTGGTGGATACCACTAAGTCGATTCCGATTCATAGTGACCCCCTGTGACAGACTCGAACTGCCCCTTAGAATTTCTTAGGCTGTACCCTTGGTGGCACAGTGGTTTAGCAGTTGGCTGCTAACCGAATGATCAGTGGTTCAAATCCATAAGCCACTCTTTATGAGAAAGATGAGGCCGTCTGCTTTCGTAAAGATTGACAGCCTTAGAGACCCTATGGGACACTTCTACTCCGTCCTACAGAGTCTCTGTGAGTCAGAAAACTTGCTAGTAAAGAGTATATAATGTGCATTCTTTGGGAGCAGGTCACCAGGTCTTTTGCCTGGGGAACCACAGGGTGGGTTCGAACGGTGGACCTCTCGGTTAGCAGCCAAGGGCTCAATCATTGTGCCAGCTGGGCTACTAACACCCAGTTGCTGTTAAGTAAAGTTAAAGCACAGTTTTAAGGAGGTGGGCATTCTGCTTGTCAGGCTGACACATCACACATCTGTGACTGGAGCCGAGATTCAGATGCACTGGGGTCAGGGGAAGGTCTCCTCAGTCACTGTGTCTCCGAGTTGTTTGTTTATTCATTTATTTTGGCATTGAGGTTGGAAAATGCCATTGAAGCCACTGGTTGCATAAACACCTTTATCAATGTAGCCAAAGAGTCATAGTGAATTAATAAATGACCAGACAGAATTCCAGTGGTTGACTGGCCTGTTGGTCCTGTTGCAGGGATCTGTGACACAGAAATCACTGGTTTGAGACATGTCACAAATGTGTACGATTTTTACAAATATGCATTAAGTCCCTGCTGTGTAGGTTCTGTGTTGTAGTGGTGAGTCATGAGTCAGTTGTGACCCACAGCGCCCCTAGAGGACAGAGTGGAACTGCCCACAGGGTTTCCAAGGCTGTCAATCTTTATGGAAGCAAAGCCCAAACCACACCCACTGCTATGGAGTCCATTCTGACCCACAGCGCCCCTAGAGGACAGAGTGGAACTGCCCCACAGGGTCTCCAAGGCTGTCATTCTTCACAGAAGCAAAGCCCAAACCACACCCACTGCTGTGGAGTTGATTCTGACTCACAGCGCCCCTAGAGGACAGAGTGGAACTGCACCACAGGGT